GTTGGCTGTAGCATGTTGAGGTTCTTGGTTAGACAGCTAATTTCAGTGACTTGAAAGTGACAGGCCTGGGGATAATTGTGGTCAGAGCTGCTCCAAGAGGATTGAGTGAAGCCTTCTGGACTTCCTTTAAAGATAAGGAAGCCAGGTTTGATCAACAGCTGCTGGGAGGGTTTTTCAGACAGTCTAGTCCAGTGCAGGATTTTTCACCTCTGACCAGTTTAGAGCATGTGCTGCCTAAGGTGAGCCGGTAAAACTAACAGTTTTGGTGTGTTTGATTAGCATCATTTATGTTTGCCCTGAAGTTAATTTCTTACAGCTATTTTTCACCTGGTTGTCAAATTTCTTTGTGTCAGAAAGACTTTGTGACCACATAAAAAAAAGTTAGGAAAATGGTTATGTTTTGGATTCTGTATTTAAAGAGTGTGTTCTAGAGGATTTAAGTAATTAAGTATTTGTAAGATTTCTTTTACATGATAAGGTTTTGCTTCAAAAGAAGCATGAAACTGTAGAGTGTTTTGGCTAGATCAAGGTTGTACCTGTTTTATTTCTCTTTAATGATTTCATGCAAGCATCAAACCTACATTAATGTACTAGCATGGTTTGAAGATAGCTGGGTATAGCTGGGTAGCTCTCTGAGAGCTGGTCTAGGGTGTTACTAAGGTTTAATTGATCTAATTCACTGCAAAAGTTTTGAAACCGTTTTGAAGGTGTTTTTTGCATCTAAAAATCTTCAAATATTTGGTATGAAATATTGCTGCTTATTGGAAAGTGAAATTTCTGTTCAGTTTTGAAAGAAAGCTTTGCTCATGTTCAAGATTAAAGTGGACCAAACCTGCTTTTCTATTTAAATTTTAAAATTATTCTACACTTACAGAAATATAGGTACCTTTGAAAGATTTAGCTGATCAGCAATTTTGAGAAGCATAAAAATTCCTAAGAATAATAATAAGACTAACAAAATTGATGGAAACTCCTGAATATACTACTGGTTTGCTCTGGTTAAGTCTCTTCCTATTCTAGGAAGCTGTTCATTTTGGAAAAGCAAAAAAATAAAAAATATAAAATCTTAGTTATACATTTAGTTCAAACCCATTATTCCACAACTATTATTCCCATAGCTGTGGAATAATGTGTTTTAATTTGACCATCATCAAAAAATGCAAGTCAAGGAAAAAGAATAATGTATTGATGGTAATTTGTAAAGCATCTTTCCCCTAGAAAACAAAATGTAAAAAAATAATTTGTAAAGTGGTCTGTACCTATAGACTATTGCAAGTATTCCATCAGGCGACTAGAACAGGCTTAGTATCCTGAGCCTTATTTAACCCTGAGGGATTTCAGTGATGAGAGATGTAATTAACTTGGGCATGTGAGCCTTTTTTTGTCAAAGTGGAATTATGTTTTAAAGTGTTCAATAATGAAAACTATTTATTTGAATTCTCTTCATATTATTTCAAACATGAAACACTAGAAAGACCTTTTCCGAGATATTAATTAACAGTTGCAAAATTAATGAATAAACCTAAAGAATTCATAGGTGTTAGTAATGGTTGAGAGAGAAAAGCCATGCTTGTCTGATGGAGGATATTTACAGAGAATGGTTTCAGGTTTTCTTTACTGGCCTCTCTCTCTCCAAGGCTTGTGTGTCACTGGTGTAGTTACCTGATAATTCAGTTTTTGGTAATTATCTTTAGAAAGCTTCTCTGGATTGGGAAGGACAAAATGTTTAATGTGTATACTTGCAGTAAGGAAGGCACTGGGTGGGAATATTAATTCATGTTAGGTTGGCTGATTGTAGATGTCCCCAAAAGAGGAAGTTTTACATTTCTATTCTATTCTATTTCTAGTCATATTACAAATAACGGTATTTAGAAGTATAGTAATTTTCAAAGATAGCATCTTTGGAATTCACTTTTTCATTACAAAGTGGTTTCACAGGCCCAAAATAGGACATTTTTTACTTTAAGGATTTTGAAGTTGATTACTTTTCTTTCTAGAAATAAGATGAGTGCCTGTCATCTCCCAGTTAAAGAGCATTACTTGCAGTGGTACACTAGAATTGTGGAATATCCTGAGTTGGAAGGGGTTTACAAGGATCACTGGGTTCAACTCCTATGAGTTTTCAGATACGAATTCTGCAGAGGTTTCACAAAGAGCAGATGTGGCCAGGTGGAAAATGTCAATTTGCAAAGGAATCCTGTGCAGTGCCCAGTGCTGTGAGCCACAGTGCTGCTGCAGGGTGCAGCAGATGAGTCAGTGGCAGATTCCTCATGAGAGGAATGCTCAGATTCTGAGTGCTGCCTACACTGGGAGGTGCAGGGAACCCTTCCCGTGTCTGTGCCACCAACGCCTTTGCACAGTAATAGCCCTTGTAGGCAGCTCTTGCCTTCTGACAGGCTGCAGTCAGCTCACCTGGCTCAAAATAGCCTGTGGTTTTAAACACATTGAACTGAAAAAAACCACACAGTGTCACTGGGAGTACTTTTGCTTCACATGTACAAGTCCTTTGAAAATAGGATATCTTGCAACAGTACTGAAATTTTTTTTTCTGACTGATAAACAAACAGAACACAGTTTATCTGCTGTGGATAGATTAATGTTGCATTTATATCTATTGAAAAGCTAGTGGCTCATCCACTACTGCAGCTTTTTTGGCTAACATCTTGTATGAATATTGTACTGCTAAATCTTTAATCTGCTGTGGAGACAGACAAATTTAGGAGCAGTGACTTTAATCTTTGAAGAACGTGTATTGACTGGGAAAGCTAGTTCAGTTTATTTTTGCAAATCACCAACCCTTAGAAGTGGGATTAAGTTCAGTGCAGGAGAAGATGGAACTTTGTCTCCAGAGTGAGGTCACAGTGCTTGTCTCTTTTCAGCTTCCATCGCAGTAAAAGAATAGAAAATATAATTGTTTCATGTTTCAGTTTTATCTCCTGAAGAATGGGAGTTATGATTACTTGTGCAGGCTGTAATGTCAGCAATTACTTCTTGTCCTTGTTGGTTCTTTAATGTGCTGTCTCTGCCCTGTTTGCATACCTGTAGTTGAAATTCTCATGTGCTGCTTTTGTATTTTCTTCTTTTTTTGCCCTTTGATTTTATTTATTTAGAGATTCCACTGAACAGGTAGCTGAGTAGACTTCAGCTGTGCAGGAATTGGTTGTGCGTATGGCTTTAGTGATGGCAAAATCCCACCCACCTTAGATGTGAAGGCAAGGAAAAGGAAACAAAACTTAATCCAACAGAAGAGATGAGAAAAGAAAGGCTTTGGTAGTAAAGGAAGGTAGAGGGGAACACCTGTGTTACAAGGTTGGAAGGGAAGAAGCTAAAGTGATACACTGGTTTTGGCACTGCAATGTGTCATGATACTGTTCTGATTTGTAATTTTAAGAACAGCCAAAGAAGTCTGTTGCTTAAATAAGGTAATTCACTGATTCTTTTTTTAATTGTAAAAGTATCTTTTAACCTCATTTTTCAGTAGAGCAGGTAAAACACTAGGACTTATTTTGGAGGAGCATATTTTTGTTTAATGAGGATATGTTTATGGTAATTTTAATCAATAAATTAATAAAAACAGTAGTGCTTGGTTGCTTTATTGCTCATCTCTTATCTGACTGGGGTCATGTACAGCATTCGGTCTTGGTAGATTCTAAGGAATGCTGTTTTCCTTATTGAGTAGCTTAGGAAAAAATCTCTCACTAAAATGGATCCCAGTTCTGTGTGAGGGACAGGAGTGTGATCGCTGTTCACCTTGCAATATCACACTTGAAGGCTTTCTAACTTGCCTGAACTACAATCAGGTCACTCAAATCCCCCCATGTCCCTAGAGAATAGAGATTGTTTCACCAGCAAATGCATGAAGTATTTTGAGCCCATTCTGCTGAATTATAGGGTTTATTTCAGAATTTGGGAGATTAATTTTTATGGAACAGGTAACTGAGAGAGTTAGCAGTCTTGCTTGAATAATGCCCTACATATTTTCTTGACTAAATAAGAACAAGATATTTGACCATCTTCTAGAGGGAACACTGTTTGGTCAGCATAAATTTAAAAGAAAATTCCAGAAGAGACAGCTGACCATTCTTCTGTGTTGTTTGCAGCTTTTTCATGTTTCTTCTGGGCTTTAATTATACTGCATATACATGGCAAGAAGAAAGACCAGGGGTTTTGTTCTTTTCATGTAGGTGTAGCTTTATCACATCGTTGGGAATTTATAGTCTGGTAATATGTAGTGTTTTTTCCATTCCTGCATTTTGCAATTGGTTTGTGCAGCCTTATAGTCTGGCAGCTGAGAGCTCACTTTTCATGATTTCTTTTGGCAGGAAAGGGTTACTGTTCACATTTCCTGTGTAATTCCTTCTGATCTTGCTGGGCTGTAATTACTTTCTTGATGTTAAACATTCCCAGGCTCCTATAACCTTCTAGCCTGCTTGCACTGGCCAAGTTTGTCCCAGGTGATCATGTGGGCGAACCTCCTGTTTTTGAGGATAAAAATCTCTCCTTCCTGTGGAAGATAGGCTACATACTCATTGCTTTGCTCTGCAATCCCAAGAGAAATCTTTTAAAAAATAATAATAAGGTAGCACATCACTCTTTCAGAGTCAGAATTAGCAGCCAAAATACATCACAAATCAAGTGTGTGGGTTAAGAATTTGCTGAATCTTGGTTGAATGACTGCGAGTTCACATTGAAGATTATTTTTTCTTAATACATTTGGAAAATAGGTTATGATATAAAAAAGATTTTGACTGTAGCTTTTTACTTTTGGCCATATAATTGGCAAATCTTTTTAAGCTTGTTTGAATGTAGAACTACTTAGCTGAGCCTTCAGGAATCTTTTCTTTTGAATTCTTTGCAGTAGCAGCATATTAAAAATAAAAAAACGCAGAATCTTACTCAGTTCTGTCTTTCTTACATAGTTCAGTTATCCTGTGCTTCTTCTGATTTTCAGTTTTAGTATATAAACAATAAACCCAAGGTATTATTTTGTTTTTAAATAGAAGTGACTGTATACTACTGAAAAGTGTTGACTTCAGAGGTGTGGGAACTGAAGTGTTCTGTTCTGCAAAGGCACCAAAAGGTTTTCTGTGCTGCTCTTCAGCTTTAATGTGGAGGAGACACCTGTAAGAATGTGAGTGAAGTTTGTTTTCCATGACCTTTATGCTGTTTTCTCACAGTGCCAAGAAAGATGAAAGGTTGTGATGGCAGGGTTTTTTTAGGGTGTGAGGAGTTGTAATGTGCTGATACATTGACACTAGTGAATGTTGGGTTGGTTTGGTTTTTGTTTTTTTTTTACTGACAATGTCAGAGAAAGTAGTTGGAGGTTCTGTGCTCTGTTGGTTCAAGAAGTAGCCTGAATTTTGATACTTTAGTTAAGAGCAATCTCATTATCTTATTATTGTGTTATAGGTAACTTTTCTGTCATAATCCTAGTCTTACTAACTTAATTAGCTGCTTTGTGAAATTCTCAGGCTGCAGGTAATTCTGTTTAGCTGTATTATTGTACTTGCAGCACGGATACTCAGAAGTGTTCCCAGTAACTGACTGAAGTCTTATGAATGTGTAACTGTGAGCTGAATGGGATTATATGGTCATACCTGGAAGAAAATGCTTTGTAGGTAATAAATTGTATCAATTTGAACCCTTATTTAATTCTCATGCATGCCAATGTCTGTGCGTTACTATATAAATAGAAATTAAAATAGTTTGCATGTGTGTTGTTGACTGTGCTGCTATGCTAGTGAAAGATAGGAAGAATATATTTTAATGAAAATGTATTTAATCTTTTTAGGAAGTCTTAAATTTGATGCCTTAGTTACAATTGCAATGCAGTCAGTATGCTGTCCAGTTCTTAGTTGCATTTTCCATCATGTAACTGGGAACATGACTGTCAGATCTGTCTGGTTTTGTTGTTGAACCCGATGTTCTTATGGGGTATTATTCAACACAGAGAAATCCAGTCCTGGCATAAAGTATTTATCGAGTAGTTATGTGAAAAAAACCATGAAGCACTAGGTGAGTGTAACTGGTCAGAAAAGGATGCTGCTTGTAATTTCCAGTTACATAGTCATTTTATTGTGGCCTGCTTGTCATCTTCAGATACTTGGGATTTGTTAGACCACTTTGTATGAAGTGAGTTCACCTTTGCATATCCACTTGGGTATGTGTTCAGCATATTGCAAGCATGATAGGCTTCTGTGCAGCAGGGTAATACTTTGGTTAAAGCTTTTTTTTTTCCAAAGCAGCTCACTTTTGACTATAAGTTATAAAAACACTGATGAATTTAGATTTGGTTGAGGGGCAAACCCTCCTGAGGCCTGTTTTCAATCTAACAGGATGTATAGTTCATCTTGCCATTCACTTTACCTGTTTAATTTTGCTTCTGCTTAGATGAAGGCAGAGAGGAATTACTCACTGTTTTGTAATTAAAGGTAACCTGTTTTGAATTTGTTTTGTAAAATACTTGGAATGTAACCAACCAGACTCTCTATTATGAATTTCACCTTCATGGTGGAAAGTGCCCTGAGTGGTAATGAATTTTCTTCCATGAAAAATTTGTGGTTTCAGAGTCTATGTGAATTGCCTCTTGCTTTTTGTGTAGAAGTCACGTACAGGATGTAAGGTGGTTCTGTTTATCCTCTGTGTGTGTGTCCATGTTGATCTAGTGATTTAACATAAAACTCTTGTGGACTTCCATGTCTGTAATGTACTAGAGGCAAGGTGATGCATATAGTTGTGGAGCAGGGAAGAATTGGACCTAACCTTAAGTGTATTTAGTGTAGAGAAAGAAGCTCTGGTTTTAACAAGCTGCTATAGAAATAATGAATGATTTGAATTAGGAGAGCTTTTAAGCTTTTAGACAATGCAGACAAATGTATTTTTATATTCAGAGTTGTTCTCTCTTAGGGAGGACATGTAAATTACTGTTGTGACAAAATGCATAAATGTGTCTAGGATTTGATAGTAATTAATTCATTTTACTTATCTAAGGATAGATTAAGTGCCTCAGTTTGGAACTGGCTATAAAAAGTAACATGTAAACAAATTTAACACATATCCGGTGTAACAGCACGTTTGGTAGAACTGAAGGCGCTTTGTTTTCAAATGCAGTGGTTTCTCACTTTCAGTGTTCACAAGCTGTTCAGTCACAGAGCTCCTCTGGACTGGATTTTTAAGGGCACATTTATCTCCATGGCTTTTATTGACTTGAACTCTATATGACAGAGTCTTAAGTACTGCTAAAATGTTGATGAATTATGTTGCTTCCCATTGGTGCATAGAAAGAATCACAGAATATCCTGAGTTGGGAGGGTCCCACAAGGATCATCAAAGTCCAGCTCCTGGGCCTTCACAGGGTAGCCCCAAGAGTCACACCCTGTGCCTGAGAGCATTGTCCAAACACTTCTTCACCTCTGGCAGGCTCGGTGCTGTGAACATTTCCCTGGAGAGCCTGTTCCAGTGCCCAGTCACCCTCTGGGTGAAGAACCTTTACTAATATTGAGCCTAAACCTTCCATGACACATCTTCAGGCCATTCCCTAAGGTCCTGTCGCTGGTCACCAGAGACAAGAGATCAGTGCCTGTCCCTCCCCTTATCTTTATGAGGAAACTGTAGACTGCAGTGAGGTCTCCCTTCAGTCTCCTCCAGACCAAGCGACCTCAGCCACTCCTCACACAGCTTCCCCTCAAGGCCCTTCACATTTTGGTAAAGCATCCTTTTTACGCTTTATAACAACTTTGTTTTTCTTGCATTGTAGTGCTCAAAACGGCAGAGGCTTCAAGGGCAGGCTGGGCCAGTGCAGAGTGGAGAGGGACAATGCCCTCCCTTGCCCAGCTGGCCATGCTGTGCCTGATGCACTCCAGGGAGGCCCTGCAGAGAGATCTCAGCAGATTCGAGGTCTGGGTAACCACCAGCCACATGAAAGTCAAAAGGCAAAGTGCTGAATTCTGTTCCTGGGATGAGGCAACCCTGGATGTAGAGACTGGGCAATGAAAGTTGGAGAGCTGTGCCACTGAAAGAGACCTGGGGTCCTGGTCCATGGCAAGCTGAACCTGAGCCAGCAGTGCCCCTGGCAGCCAGGAGGGCCAACCCTGTCCTGGGGGGCATCAGGGACAGCATGGCCAGCCGGGCAAGGGAGGGATTGTCCTGCTCTGCTCTGCACTGGAGCAGCCTCACCTTGAGTGCTGGGGGCAGGTCTGGGTGCCACAGTGTAAGAAGGATACAAAACTGTCAGAAAGCATAAAAAGGAGAGCCACAAAGATGGAGCAGGGCCTTGAGGGGAAGCCGTGTGAGGAGCAGTTGAGAGCACTTGGTCTGTTCTGCCTGGGTGAGAGGACACTGAGGGGAGATCTCACTGCAGTCTGGTGAGGGGCAGAGGAGAGACAGGCACTGATCTCTGCTCTGGTGACCAGTGACAGGACATGAGGGAATGGCCTGAGCTTGTGTCAGGGTAGGTTTAGGTTGGATATCCAGAAAAGGTCCTTCACTCAAGGGTGGTTAGTCCCTGGAACAGGCTCCCCAGGGCAGTGGCCACAGCACCAAGCCCAGTGGAATTCAAGAAGTGTTTGTACAATGCTCTCAGGCACAGGGTGTGACTCTTGGGGGTGGTGCTGTGCAGGGCCAGGAGTTGGACTCTGTGATCCTTGTTGGTCCCTTCCAACTCAGGGACTGATTCTGTGATTCTGTATTTTTAAGTCTTTTCAATTTTATGATTTTAGATTAACAGTCAGGAAAACAGAGAACCTTACAAGGTGTTTAGCAATTTGAAAGATGTTAGGAAACAGAATACACTATATCCTTATTATCCTTATTATATGTTTCTTCTGTAGAAAAAGAGTCCTGTTCTTGTCATCTGCTCTCATGCTATAAGTAATTTCATGTTTTGTCATCTGGTAAATGTATATATATTGTCTAAATTTTTTACTTATTGGAGGCTTCTTCTAAAATTTCCATCCAAAACTTTACATTTCAGAAACTTAAGCTCTGTTCTTACATCTGTATAAAATGAATTTCGCTTCCAGTCTGGGAATTTTCATGGTACTTGAATACTGTAGGTGCTACAGCTATTGCAGTCAACAGTTTTAAAAATGCTTGCAAATTAAATACATATATAGCCAGAAGTCCTGAAAAAATATTTACTTATGTATCTTTGAAGGTAACTGTCATCAATGGAAATACTTATGTTTTTAGATTCATCACAGGACTGTGGGTTTGAGGGGAACTCTTTGTCACTGCAATTTTGTGTTTCATTTTTAAGGTTAATTCAGTTCTGACTTGTGGCATGATCATTGACATTTACATGGTATGGGCCATGAGGCCTGCATGCAGCAAGTGAATTCACACAGATCAGAAATAGCTTAGAAGAAAAGTGCAAAATGTCTTTGGCACTTATCACCATTATTTTTAATCTCCCCTCCTCCCTTCCAGTGCCCTAAAAAGAAGTAGTTGAGCTGGATGAATCAGTGTTTGGTACAGAGGACGATGCAGATTGTTGGCATTCACCCAGTGCACATCTCAAAACTACAAACTCAGATCTTACATTATTTCACTACTAGTGAAAGGTGAATGACTTTGAAGAGCAGAAGTGAATGTGGTAGAAATAATATGTAGGGTTTTCTGCTTTGCTGCAAGGGAAGCATTGATTTTTGTTTTTACAGAAATGTTTGGTAATGTTCTTTCCATATTAAAACCCTTATTTAAATCTTAAAAGATACCATGTTCTGTGTCTAGGCTTGTATATTTTGCTATTTAGTGCAAGTTTTTGAGATAAAGCAAAATGATAGATTAAAAAACTAAATCACAGCTGTGTAAAGAAAACTATACCTGGCTGAAATAATTTGTATGTTAAAACATGTTCAATGAGTCTTCACTAGAGAACCTCTGAAAAATGAAATGTCATAGCAAAACCTTACAGACTTTTCTGTGGTTTTGTGTATTAAATGTTCTGTTGCCTGCTTGAACAGTTCTCACCATTCAGAAGGCAAGTAGAGTAGTATTGTGCCAGTATTTTTATTTGAAAAAATATATTGGAGACTTTTTAATGTAATTCAGATCCTAGAAAGATGAGCAGTTTCTTAAAAGTCATTCTGTATTCAGTAAAGAAAAATTGTGAGAATTCAGCCTGTTGCAGGTATTGGGAGCTAATGCTGATAAATCACTTGGCCACTAATCAATTTTTGAAGCTTCAAAAATAATTCTTTACATCTATCTGACAGTTTTCAAACAAATAAAAGCCACTCTGTTGTCTTCTGTACAGGTTTTTCTTTCCGAGGCATGTAGAATAAATAGAGCAGGTGTGTTAGGAGCTGTGATCTAATTTTGCAGGTTGGGAGCCAAGAACAAGTTCTGCATGCACATACCTCCGGCTTTAATCTTTAAAAGAAGAGCAGACTTAAAAAACAAGGAGTACTTGAGCATAAAAATGTGACTTGCTTGACACCTACTTGTTCATTTAGTTACTCCCAGAACAATTCTTCTCTTAGGAAACATGATTTGTTTGGTTGAAACAAGGTAAGGAAGGGAGTGAAGCAATCCAGTTTTAAAGAATGGGGAGCTGATGATGGCAAGCCCTGTATGGGCTGGAGACAGGAGATTAAGGAGGTAAAGTTATTAATAAAAA